TGAGACTAGGGCCTTCTGCAAACAGTACATCAAAAGGTTTTCCAGCTTCCGCCCTCTGTAGAAACACAACTTCAGATGGCTTTAACAACACATCTGCCCTCAGTTTCCAGCACCCACAAGCCCACAATGATACTGTTTGCCAGTTCTTCAAACACTACCAGCTACAGCCTGAGGGAACCCTAGAGATCAGCAGGATCTCCCCCAGAGAGGCAGGACTGTATACCTGTGTGGCTGAGAATGCATTAGGAGCAGATACACACAGCGTTACAGTAGGAGTGCACAACAGGGGGAAAAATAGAAAGAGGGGGGTGATGACTAAACCGAAGAAATTTCAATCCATGAGAGTAGAAGCCAGGTTGGAGTTGAACGAGGTTGGAGAGCACTATGCTATCTTGTCCTGGCAGAGCAGACAAAACCTGCCCTCCACTCGCTTATCCTGGCAGGCCATGCAGACCAGCTCCCACACACCAACATACACCACGCGCATACTTGCTGGCACTCAGAGCTTCAACCTAACTCACCTGCAGGCAGAGACATTTTACAGAGTGTGTCTACATCTAGGAGTCAGTGAGGACGGCAAGAGAGACAACCTTGGGTCGGAGGGGAGCAAAAAGCCTCGCTGTGTGTCGTTCAGGACCAAGGATGTGCCAGAGCCTCAGCCTGGTTTGCAGCTCAACCCAGAGCTGACCTCCATAGCGGTCACACTACTGCTTCTTGCTTATATCCTGCTGCTAGCAGTGCAGGGCTGGGATGCTGAACCTGGCGAGGAGGCGAGGAAGCATCACAACGCCCTCTGTGTGGATATCAAGGGTCCCCAGACTGTTATTATCGCTCAGAAGACAAAAGAGAGCAATGAAGATCCAACAGATCTGAAAGAGAAGCTGGCATCGTATTATATCATTTGAGATAATTACACCCATTCCAATGCAGACGAGATAAACTGGCACACGTCCATAACATGGGACATGAAATATACTCTAGCACTCACACAAATGAAGGATTTAGAGATTATGGTGCAACGAGAGATTTGTATTTATTTTATATAAGCATAAAGTATATATTGACTTTGTTTCTGTGTTGAGATGTGTTGTAAAGATTGCTTATCTCCCCTTTGGCGGGGAAATAAAACTGGACAATCATACTCCTGCTTAACACAGGGGAAACAACAGAGCCTGAGCTGCCTATGATCACTGGACTGAAACTAAAGAGAGCTTCATACATTTCAGGAATGGATATTTACAGAAGAGAGAGCAGCCCAGACCTCCGGGGTTTTGTCCTGTTTATAGTCAACATGTTTCCACAGACTCGAGCATACTCTCTCCAAGCTGATAAAACTCTGCATTACGACGGGCGCTGAAAGGACTTTCTGCTGGTTTGGACAGTTTAAGTCAAAGTGATTGATGTACACGGCGCTTTAGCTTTGCTCTTGGACTGACTCGTCCATCTTGCGGTACCTATATGGTGAGCTCATCCCTGATAAAACATGTCTCTCTGTTTTAAAATAAAAGTGATTTAAAAGTGACTAGTTTGAGCTTTGAATTATGTTTTTTGCATCTACTTGTGTTTTGTGTTTTTTCTTTTAATCAAAAACTGACATATGGAAAATCATTTGACAAAGACATGAGATTTAGAAAAAAGTCATTTAGAAATAGTGTTGCATCATTTCAGCAAAGCTTAGGTTCTCCACCAAACCAACATGAATACTAATGGTGTTAGACATCTCACGCCTTCTCAGTAACACAAGACGCAGAATGTCCCCTGCTGGAGGAGGAATGTAACTGAGAGGCCAGATTAAAGGGCTGAAAGATGCAATTTTCCCAAACTCAAGTAGCTGCCGAATTTCCCTTCTATCAGAACTGGATCTCAGGACCTCAACTTAGCTTTATGCAAAGGTAAGAAATATAAAATGTTAAAATGTCCTGGCCGTACTCCATCTGTTACCCCAAGACCGCTGGAGATGAGCACCAGTGTTTCCTCGGCCCTGCAAGGATAAGCAGGTAAAGATGATGGATGGGTGGAATATACATCTATTACTCAGTTTCAGATTATCTGATAGCATCAGATCTCTGCTTAGCTGTAAGAGAAATTTATTTCAGATGGACAGGAACAAATGTGAAATGCAGGTCTTGCCGTTTAATTTTTTTAATTAAAATTGGAGAGTGTCAAAGAGTGACATCAGCAGAGATTCTGTCAGATTAGTTGCACCATGAAAATTGTTTCCAGCCAGCAGAGTATTAAAGTCAGCTACTTGAGGTAAGGATTTTGCACATATACTGTTTTTCCACGTTTTGACATGTTAGAACCAACTACCAACGTGTTTTTATTTATAAATACAGCAGAAAATATAGAGGTTTTCTAAATTTCATACAAATATAACTTTGAAACATTGTCGTTTTGTGTGAGTCAGTAATTTGGGTAACACTTTATTTAAAGGGGGTTGAATAAGACTGTCATGACACTGTCATAAACATGACATAACACCTGTCATGAACATCAAGTCTTCATGAATATTTATGACTGTTCGGTAAATTATGACACTTTTAATACAAAGTTGACATTATTCAAAATGTCTTTGTTATGACAACTTGACATTAACCAAGAAATCATTAGTGTTTAAACTTTACCTTTAATAACATAAAGTTACCTAATTTTTAAAGTGCAATCAGTAATACTTTTATAACAAATTTACATCAGTAATGATTTCTTGGTTAATGTCAAGTTGTCATAACGAAGACATTTTGAATAATGTCAACTTTGTATTAAAAGTGTCATAATTTACCGAATGACGCTTTATGACAACAGTCATAAATATTCATGAAGGCTTATTCATGTTCATGACAGGTGTTATGTCATGTTTATGACAGTGTCATAACAGTCTTATTCACCCCCCTTCAAATAAAGTGTTACCGTAGTTTGTAGAAGAGAGACAACCTTTGCTTCAGTAACAGCTGCATTTTTCGAGTACGTTTGCCCACTTTTACCCATTCTTTCCAAAAACGCAAATTAAAAGCCACTTTGGTTGGAGAATGTCTAAAAACATACATTTTCAAGTCTTTCCCCCGGTTCTCAATCGGTTGTAGCTCTTGATTTGACGAGGTCATTCCAACACATGAATGTGATTTGACCTGAAGTAACACTTCCTCTGTATTTCTGGCTTCATCGTTAGAGGAAAGATTGAAATACTGGTTTTTAATGTAACACTGCTTTAAAATTTTAAAAGAAAAATGCGTCTGCTGTGCACAAACGTTATCTGACAAATCGCTGAGGTTTTCACAGAACAACTGGAATTAGAATAAAAACGTCCCCCAGCATGATGCTGACTTGACCAACATCAACTTACTAAGTAAGAGGCACCTGAGTGTAATTAGTGGTGATGGATATTATCTAGTGGTATTTGAGTAAGACTGGCTGAAAACAAAGCAAAAGCGTACATTTCAGATTAGCAGCTGTAAATAAATACTTGTTTCCATCATTATCCTTTACTTTATGTTGTTCTTTCACATAACATCTTTGGACAATGCATTGGAGTTTGTGGTTGTAAGATGAAAATGTGCGAAACTTTATAAGACATTAATGCAATTTAATGTGATTCTGCGTTAAGAATCAACACGTTGAGCATCAGTTAGGACTTCTTTATTCACACAAAACATAATACAACTCTTCAATAAGGCAAGACATTACTGTATATACATAGAATGATCTACATGGATAGCATATTCAAATATTTATATAACTCTGTCATTCTTTAGTAGCACTACATAGTGTAAATACATTTTTTAAGTAAGTTATGTAAAAACAGTTAATGGATCTAAAAATTTCAATTTATTCGTTCATTCAAGGCAAGAGTTATTGTAGAAGATAACGGCAACAGAAGTTGATGCCTGAACATCGTCAACTGGTTCAGTTACTGGTTTGATTATGGGCTGGTACGGTGGCTCAGAGGGCTTAGAGAACAATGCTTTATGCAGAATTAATAAAAGGAAGAGCAAGTCAGCTTGTTTCCCACTAATTCACTGTAATTAGAAAAACATTTGGTAAACACACAGGCCTGGAGCACACTGCATCTTTTGCGCAGCACATGTTCAGCTGGTGAAGATGTACAGCTTTTAAGAAACTCTCGGTGCCACAACCCATTTTTAAACCCCTTAAATTTCCAAAATCAGATTCAAAACAAACTTGGGGGGGGGAAAAGCAAATCGCATACAAGCTGAACTCTGCTATTCCCACTAGCATCAACACAGATTATTGACACAAGCTGACATCATAGTTGCAGTAGGTGCCCTTAAAAAAAAAACAAAAAAAAACGATATAATGGATTTGTTTCAGTGTATACTGAGCATGTTGAATGCAAAAACACACAGGGTTCCTTCACATTATAAAAGTCTAATTTCACAGACTTAAATCATCTTAAACATGATAAATGTTTACATTTTCAGTTTGGGGTTGCAATCTGAACATTGTCATGTTCTTCTATACAACAAGGGGTTCATTTAACAAATCTATATTTGAACTCAGAGGAAAATTGAAAAAACAAATATTTCAGTGCTGTGTATGTGCAACTTATAGCAAATTGTTTGCCGCTATAAATCAGATTTTCAAACTTAGGTAGGCTCATAAAAGCTTTAAACAAAACTAAAAATATGACAATGTTCATCTTTTATATGTAAAAATAGAATAATTCTGCTTCTTTGAGAAACTTATCTTTAGAAATGTATTCTTCATTTTAGCATTGCTAAGGGGAAATGGAGTCTGAAAAAACTAATATTTAAACTTGGAAATACTGGAAAGACAGAGTTATAATGACAAGAAGGTAGTCATTTACCAAAATATAATTTTATAGAGCTTTAACAAATAGTAGCAGTGCTGAGTATCGGCTCACAAGCTGAAAGTCCATAACTGGGAACTACGGGGAAATTGAAAATGACAACACAGCTAAATATAAAGAACATAATCCTGTGTTCATGTGATGCATGAGCAGTACTAGATTTCTCCACTTTTCAGAAAGTTTGAGTTTCATAGGATTGGAAAATCCAGCATAGTTTCAATAGTAGATTGCAGAGAAGCTCCTTAAATCCCCTGGTCTGTGCAGTGAGAGTGTTAAACTGTTAAACTGGTAAAACGAATAGAAGCGGCTTCCTTCGTTTAAGCAATGCAAGGTAAGTTTTTATGATGCAAACTGAAACGCCATGCCTTAAGTTGCGAAAACACAACACCACATAGCATTTATATTAAAAACCATCTTTACCTACTTTGTATCCAGCATGATATGTAGTTGTAGACATCTGATATCAAACATTGAAGAAATGTTTTCTCTTTTTCCTTATGCACAACAGAGAACTGACTAAATATATTAATACTTTTTAACACTGTTAAACTGTTAATTATGGAAGTATATTATAAACTCATGCTGTGTAATTTATGCATTACTCTGGCTAACCTCTAGAGCAATTAGGATTTTTTGTTTTTGGCTGATACCAATTTCCAGATATTTTAAAAAGTCTGACTTCCAAATTTCAATTTTGATTGATTAAGATTTTCTTATTCAAAGGACCATAAGACCTTAAAGATTTAATGACCCCATTAAGGGACAAGGGTGTAAAGAAAATGGATGGATGAAATGTATCAAAGCATACTGCATGTCAATAAAGACATTTCATAAGTAGGGAAAAACTATTCTTTTAGTCTTTAGAAAAATGCCAGATCCTTATTGTTGTAGATATATTGGTGAATCTCTACTTCATATACAAAAATGTTCTCTGTTAAAATATCTTTATGTTTGTTACAACTACATCATGCAGGTTTGTCAAAATGCTGCACCAAGTTATACTGGTAAGTAAATACAGCGACCAAGCTCATAAAAACCAGTTTACCAGGAGTGCATCACTACTGGTGTTTATACCACAGTTTGGGAACCAATATGAACACACAAAAAAACCTGAAGATGTCCACACTCAGACACATACACACAAAGAATGAAAACTGAATTAGGTAATTGAATCCCTTTTGTGAGCCGATACTGTAGAGCAGCCAAGAAAAATGTGAGAAAAAAAGAAATTCAGGCAGCGTCAGCGATCAGTGACACCAGGTGTGTAAACTCAGCTTTGTGCTGGTAACTGCTTACTACCAGCCCTCATCCAGTAACAATGACCAAATCTAGTCCGGTTTTGATTGTTTGTGTGATCCAATTTGGGTTTCCAATCAGCAGATTTAGCAACTGCTCAGAAAAACAACAAACTTTGTGAAGACACAAATGGAGGTTTCAGCACCTGGACTCGTGCCAGTCCTGATATTTATCGTCAACAAAAATTAATCCCCGTCTGAAGATTTCTCTAGCACACGTACATCTCATTTCATAGCAGAAACAGGCTGCTACAGAGAAAGCTGTCCAGCTTAATGACGGTCCAACATGTTTATAACTTGATATTAATGAGGCAATAGTGGAGAAAAAGTGTAGAGCTGATTGTGTTTTACTGTACAAGTGGAGGAACGAGCAGTACCACAGCAAATTTTAAACGTTTAAACTGAAACAGCAGCCCCTTCATTACCAGTTGCCATGGCTACCACGCATAGCTCGACTTAGCAAGAACGCCTTCACTTTACCGAGAAACTAAAAGCTCCGGTTTCATTTCTGAATTAGAGGAGATGAAGATGCTGTCGGGGTTCTCAACTGTTAAGTAAAGTTTAACCTCTGACCCCACCATAAAGCTATTATCACATTTTTTTTGTTTGTTTTTTTGTTTTAAGTCTGACAACCATACTGCATCCTAAACGTGTGTTTTTAAAGTTCTGGGAAAGAAAATCAACCCTTATAAATATAAGCAGCTAAATTCATCGACAGATGAGTAGACGTGTCTTTTATCAATACATGCATGCATGGCATTCGAGCACACACAGAAGCACACGCACAACTCAGCTGTAGTTGTAGGAGAAGTTGTAAGAGCTAGGCTCCTTTGGCACTGGAGGCGGGGCTTCTGGGATCGTGATGTTCTCAAGGTCGAGGAGGCGGAGCTTCATCTCCATGCTTATGAGGGTATCTAGGTCGCTGCGTGTCAGGTCACTGCCCATCTCTCTGCCCAGCAGCGCACACAGCCCGTCGGTCCAGATGCAATACTGGACATGTGGGCACAGAAGCACAAACACACACCAACACACACGCACACACACACACACACACACACATGCAGAGGAGTTTTGGTGAGTGAGGATCCTTCACGGTCAAATTTACTGACCCAAGTAGCTCTGGGAAGGGGAAACATTCCCCAGTTGTGGGAGCGAGTTCGAACAAAGCATTTAGATTTTTATCAGAAGATGTTCAAATATTGAGGTCGGATATTGTTTCCTCTGGAAAAGAAAGATTTAACTGAATTCACACAACAAAAATTCCCCTTATTTTCCAAAAGATCACAATGAAAGATGTGTTTTCTAGTGAGCGGAAAAGTTATCTAGCCTGAAATAACTTCAGAGACACTTGCAGTAATCAACCAAACTCTACCCTCTGAGATGTGAGATGTTTGAAGGGTTTACTGCAACCTACGAGGGTGAGACTGCCAGATCCTGCTGCAGAAGAGCCTCCCCACAGCATGACGCCTCCACCTCTATGTTTCATGGTTGGCATGAGCTTCTTTTCCAGGAATGCTGCATTTGGTTGTCCCCCTTCCAGACCTCCCACGAAACGTAAACTTGTGCAGCCCTTTTTAGATTGATCAGACATCTACTTTAATGTCAGCAAACTACTGGTGTAGATCTAATGACTTCCTTTTAGGGTTTTGATTGCTTATTTTTGCATCTTGTGGTCAATTTGCTTGGAGAGAATCATTTGTGTGCATTTGTGAATGAGTAAATGGTTTCTATCGTACATCGTTTGCTTCGTGTGCCTATTTATGGGATCTGTTGGTTTCTCTTCTTCAGCAGGGCTTCTGGCCACTGGCTTGAGCAAACAGCCCCAAGTTCACCTGTCAACAAAGTTAGCAGTGCAGAAAGTCTTGGTTTTTACTTTAATTCCTGTTTGTACTCCTTGGTGAAAGTAAATCCAGCCCCCAGAGGTCGTGGCACATTTCACGCTAATGTCACGGCTCAAGTATTGCTGTTCGTTTTACAAACATTAGATAAATTATGGGCAGAGTTTCCTCCAAATACGAGCATCAAACACCGGTTAAATGTTAGCCAAGTGTGCAAAAAAGGCTCTGTCAATCACAAGGTTCTTACACCGTCTTCATGGGAAAAATGCAAACTTTTCTAGGCTCAACTTTCTAAAGGTCTCGGTTCTTCAAGTCTGTTGCAAAATGTAACATGAAGGGAGGAATAAAAGAGAGAATAAAAGGAGGAAAGGAGAGAGCAAAGGAAGGAATGAAGGAACAAAGGGGGGAAAATGCGATAAGAAATAAAGTTTGAGAATAGAAAAATGTTTTGATATTCCCATTGTCTGTTTTGATACTTATTCAGACATGGAAAACACTGGAAACAAATTCCAGACGTTTCCAAACCTTTCCAGGTTGCGTACGAACCCTGGAGTCAAGATGGACATTCAGACTCTGGTTTATGTGAACTTTGTAGATGCAAAGCCTTCAGTGAACCAGCCTGACTGTCTTCAGGTTAATGAGAAGTCAGTCAGCATCAAAACATTACTGCAGCCAGCCAAGGCCAGCAGACGACATCAAAACAATGAATACAGGGTTCAATTATTTCATCTCATTCACAATTCAGACACTGCAGCAAAAAACCTGCGAGCGCACAGTCATAGCCTGCGAATATTTTACCTCGTATTTGTTCGGTGCAACAAAATTAAGCGTTTCGTCCGGATCGTAGAGGACGGAGAAGGCCAGCTCCAGCACCTCCTGGCAGAGCGAAACAAATTCAGCAACAACACAGCAAGGTCACGAGTCAGCAAAATATGTTAGACATGAATACAAATGAACATTTTAGCACCTTGTTTTGTTTTAGAGCACTTTTCTCCTTCATATGAGGGCAATCCTTTCCTGTTAACACAGACTTGATGTCTGAGACAGGGACTGGAGAGAAAAAAAACAGAGAAATTTATCCTCTCACCAGATGCAGAAGAATTGTTTTGTGTTTCTCAAAAAACACAAAAAGTAGCAGAAACAAACAAAAGTGTGTCTCACTCTTGTCACTCAGTAGCTCAAAAGGCACTTCACCCTGAGGTGACTCCTCCAAATCCCCGTAGTGCAGAACTTTGTGATTAAGAGATAATCGGCAGAACCAGAACTTTTCTACAAAAAAAAAAGAAAAAACAATAATCAATAGAAGCAAGACTCTGCGCAGACAGACAAATGTCTGCAGCGCTCCTCTCGTTACCTTGCCTTCGACGGTTCCCCAGTTTACGGAAGCAGCTTCCCTCGCACAACCGGTTGAGCCGCTGCTGCTTGATGAGCTCCAAGATCTCGGGTTGAATCCTCTCCCGCAGCTCTCTGCAGCACAGCACAGCATGAGGAACTGGAAAACCATGAACACAAAATGAATAATGCAGGAAAGGCGCAGACTGACATGATGGGCGGAGACTGGAAGTCGTCCTGGCTCATCCTTTCTGACTGCCGCAGACGCAGTATCTCAGAGTAGCTGAGGCCTCGCAGCTTGTTCTTCAGCTGGTCTATGGAGGACGGCTTCATGGCCAGAGCCCTGGTAATCTGCTCCCGGACCACCTGCATCACCTGGGCCAGCGTTCACACACACACACACGCACACACACACACACACACACACACACACACACACACACAAATAATGAGGGCTGATGGAGCAAAAATGTAAGGCTCAAAAGCTGGGTTAATGCAGACGCATGTGAACCCTTTAGATTAGTTTTTCTTTGTGATTCTTTAGGTATAATTATTTCAAATAACCCTTTTTATTCTATTGAACTTAACAGTGTCGCGTGTTGCATGAATAATACCAGTGTTCGCCCTCACCAGGCGCTCATTCAGTTGCTATAAAAAAGCTCATCTGACATTACTGGTCTGGACCAAAAGCAGAAAATTGATACTAGAATTGAAAAATGCAATTTAATAAGAGGTTGTACAATTATCAAGTCATTTTCTCACTGTAATCATGGAAATATGTAGTAATCCAGCTGCGAACTCAATGGTCTGTGTTAATCTGTATTTAAACAGATGGGAAATACAATCCTTTGTGCAAAACCATCCACAAAAAATAGACTGACTTCTGCTCAGTACATTTATTCAGTGCAAAAAAAAGAAATAATTGTTCATTAGGACATCACCTGTAAACCTCCATTTTACCATCGCTCTTTTACCAAAAAGAATGAATTTATTCCTCTCCAATAAAATGTAACGAGGTTTGAGCATTCATGAAGATCTTTGCAGTCTTTTGGGTCGTCCTGTTTTCTCTCATGTTCTCCTCTCAGTCAAGGGCAGGGGTGTCCGAACTTTTGGCCACATGGGCCAAAATTACAGATTCAAAAGTAATTACGGGCCAAAAAAAACCTAAATTAAAGCAAATAAAGTATCCGATGTAGATCCAAAACTTGAAAACAATTTTTATAATGGTGTATTAGGGCCATTGTAGATAGAAAAAAAGGAGTATATTTCTGGCAAAAATTCAGAAATATTCTAGAAAAAAAATTTAAAAGAAAACTTTTGACATTTGAAATTCAGAAATTCACAAGATGTTTTGGGAAAAAAAATCTTGTAAATTTCTAGATATTAATCTAGAAATTTGATGCTTTCTTTCTAGCAAGTTCCCTTGTTTTTCTAGAAAATTTCTGACCTTACTCTCAAAATTTCTGAGTTTTTTGGCAGAAATGAATTGCTTACTGTCATTTTGCATGTTTTCTGTATTAAAAGAAAGACGTAGTTTTCAGTTTCTTTTGGGCTCGACTGAATAAATTTACCTTCAGTAATGAGACCAGGATTTGGGTCACTTTCTTTCAAAGCGTTTGCTATATTTAGCCAAGTTTAAGAAAGAATAAAAGCTGATTCGGGTGCAGCAATGTTGCCTTTTCAGTAAAAGTCTCTGGATAAACTTGGTTTTACCTTTTGTTAAAATTTTTTTGTGTAAATACGAATACTTTGTGCTATACTTCACATTTTCCTGTGTAAGAAAATAATGTTGGTAACAATTTTTACCCTGATTACAAATTAAAAGTGTACATTTGCATCTACAAATGAAATTTGTATCATTTTTGAATTGTAGTTGGGGGCTGAACAAAATTAGTCCAAGGGCCATAAATGGCCCCCGGGCCACACTTTGGACATCCTTTGTCTAGGGACTGAGATAAATATGAAACAAACATGATTTTGTGTTTGGTGAACCATTTCTGTTGAAAGATGTTTTGGATCATTCATCTTTTAAAACAAGCATCTCAGAGTGTGTTGAGTGAAAAGAAAAATCCAGATTTTCCAATAATTAAATCCTCATGATTAAAAAATTTGATTAATCAATGATTGGTTTATGACCCATCCCTAATACAGGGTATGTTAATCATTTTATTTTCTTGCTCCATTCTTTGTTTTACTATTAAAGCAAATTGTAATTTTCTTCTGAAACAGAAGCTGCTGTCTTCAAAGTGAGATTCTGCTACTAAAATACAGGAACCACTTATTATCCACTGGCCCAAACATTAATCTCCCAGTCCGCCCATTAGTGCAGACCAGCGATGGACGTGTAAATGACTCTCTTTGGAGTGAAAATGCGAGTTTGGAGTGGGCATGAGTGGTGGCATTGTGCGTGGACAAACTGTGTTATGAGACAGATTTTGGAGTGTTTAGTGGTCATAAAAACGGAGAGT